TGCACCGCCCCCGGTGAACTGCTGGCGCCAGCGCCCGCATGGCCCCCGCGCAGGCGCAGTAGCGCACTGCCGCGCTCGAGAGGCCAACCCGCGGCCTCCACGGCACCTCCGCGCACCAGCAGGCCCATCGGAAGGCTCGGGTCCAACGGCGCTGGATAGCTTAGTCCCGCCGCGGCCCAGTCGCTGCTCGCAGCCGCTTCGGCGACCGTGCAGACTGACCTGCTGCGGCGAGGTACCGAACCCGAACGCAGCGAGGCCCCCCCCAGCTCACCTGCCAGACCTTCAGCTGCGGCGAGGATCACCTAATCCGCTGCTGCCCCGCGCTCGCCCTATTGGGCCTTCCCAGTGTGTCAATGAGTGTTTCGTGCCAGAATAATTACCTTGCGCTGTCCACAAGCACCCAGGTTGACCACCCGGCCCCCGTGCGCGCCTTGCCCCGGGTTCCGTTGGAGTGGTAATCTCTTGCAGGGGCCGTTTGCCACCTCGCCGCCTGCCCAGCGAGCCGTTCAAGCGTGCATTCTTGTAGGCGCAGTGCTATCCCCATCTCGGGCTGCGCTGCGCCACCAGGCGCGCAAGCCATCGTGTCAGCGCCGTCGGTTTTGCAGGGTCTGAACGACGTGCTGTGGGCAGGAGCGCCCGTGCTCCCTCGGGGCGGCAGCCCCCCGCATTCCCCTCGCCGCCGTGCGCTGGCCGGAGTGCCGCGCGGGTCGGGGACGCGCGCCCCGGCGTGCCGACCATTGGGCCAGTTTCTGCCGCGTCCTTCCTCCTGGCTGTGCCTCGCTGCCTTCTCCCTGCCCCCCGCCGCCTTCTGCTCCCCAGTGACGGGGCGGGGTTCTGATGCACCCGCGCCCCTCGCCCCTCCCCCCGCTGCCCCCTCCCTCCTCCTCCTCCTCCTCCTCCTCCTCCTCCTCCTCCTCCTCCTCCTCCTCCTCCGCCTCCGCCTCCCCTCCTCCTCCTCCTCCTCCTCCTCCTCCTCCTCCTCCTCCTCCTCCTCCTCCTCCTCCCCCCCCCCTCCCTCCTCCTCCCCCCCCTCCTCCTCTCCTCCTCCTCCTCCTCCTCCTCGTCCTCGTCGTCCTCCTCCTCCTCCTCCTCCTCCCTCCTCTTCCTCCTCCTCCTCGTCTCCCTCCTCCTCCTCCTTCCTCCTCCTCCTCTCCTCCTCCTCCTCTTCGTCCTCCCCCTCCTCCTCCTCCTCCTCCTCCTCTCCTCCTCCTCCTCCTCCTCCTCCTCCTCCTCCTCCTCCTCCTCCTCCTCCTCCTCCTCCTCCTCCTCCTCCTCCTCCTCCTCCTCCCCCTCCTCCTCCTCCTCTTCCTCCTCCTCCCCCTCCTCCTCCTCCGCCTCCTCCTCCTCCTCCTCCTCCTCACCCTTCTCCTCTTCCTCCTCCGCCTCCCCCTCCCCCTCCTCCTCCTCCTCCTCCTCCGTCCTCCCTCCTTTTCCTCGTCCTCCTCCCTCCTCCTCCTCCTCTTCTTCCTCCTCCTCTTCCTCCTCCTTCCTCCCTCCTCCTTCCTCCTCTGTCCTTTTGGCTTCGTCGTCCTCCTCCCCCCTGGCCATCCTCTTCCCGTGGTGCTGGCTGCAAGCTTGGCCGAGCGTTCCTGGGTGTCCCGCGCAGCGCGGAGGTGCCACCAGTGCAACACGCTGCTGGAATTGTGCGCCGTTCGCCACCTTCGAAGGGCGGGAAGGAAGGGAGTGGGCGGGGATGAGAGGAAGGGAGTGAGGTATGGGGAGGGGAGGGGGAGGGGGAGGGAGGAAAGTAGGGACGAGAAGGGGATGGGGAAGGAAGGGAGGGGATGGAGGGAGGAAGGAAGTGATGGGAGGGTGGGGTGTGGAGGAAGGGAGGGTGGGGAGGGGAGGGAAGTTCGCCGAGATCTGAGAAGGGGTGCCCACAAGGGAAATGAGAGGGAAGGGGGGCTTCGTTTAGAGTCAAAGCCAGTGATATGTGGTATCCTCGATTCGTGGCATCCTTTGCATGGTTTTTGCCGTTTCGTTCCGAGGGTGCGATGGCATCTTGGCTCATTCTAGGTGCCTTGCATGCTTATCCTCCATCCTTATCACGAATGTTTGCTGCACTCCTTTTCCTCTCTCCCTACCTTCTCCTCTCCTCGCTCCTCTCGTCGCGTCCGTCGGCGCGCGCCCAACTGGGGATAGGCCCTGGACCTCTCACCCGCCAGCTCCCAGCCATGTTACCCCCTCGCACGGGTGCTCCTTTTACCGTTCTGGGCATTCAATTCGGGTGGGAGAAGCGCCAACCTGCGCCACCGCCCTACCGCGGCCCCCTCTCCAGAGACGGTCCTCTGCTCGGGGCTGTCGGCTCGGCGTTCGCTGCGCTGTTCTCAACTGGCGTTCGAGCCTCGCAGCCCCCGCAAGGCACACCGGGCGCCCCCCACTACAGTCGGGGCCCTGTAGAAGGAACCCTTTTCGTTGGGGAGGGGCTCCGTGTTCCTTGATTGTTTCACAGCTTGCCTCAGGTTTTCCTTGTGTTTTCGATGGGAAATCGAAGTTTAACTTTTGGAAAAAAGGGGCCTCGTTCCTTATTTAGGGTTCCTTAGGTCAGCGTCCCGACTGTACTCTGATCCATTGTTGCTGGGCTGAAGTATAGCATGTTGACCAGCGTGGGCCCCCAAGCGGCGTGTTTCTGGCAATACATGTGGTGCTATATATGTGAAGTGATGTAGGTAGTGACATCAATCCTCCTCCTCCTCCTCCTCCTCCTCCTCCCATGCTGTGAAACATGTGTGGTGCAACATCTGTTGTGCAATCTACGCGGTGCAATGTGCGATGTGCAATCGATGTTGTGCAATAGGTGTGGTGCAATCTATACGCGGTGCAGTCTACGTGATGCAAGATCTGTGGGCAGCCTAGGTGGTGCAATATCTGTGGTGCACTCCATGTTGTGGAGTATCTGTGGTGCGATGTATATGGTGCAGTCTATGTTGTGCAGGATGTGTGGTGCAATCTATATTGTGAGCAATCTAAAACCGCACCGCATGGTTTTTTCTCGTGCAACCAATGTGCTACAACCGATGTAGGGCAATCGATGTGATGGAACATATGCGGTGCTATCTATGTGGTTAAATATAGGTTGTCCAACCTCTGTTGTGCAATCTATGTGTTGCAATATGTTGTGTGCAACAGGTGTAATGCAATCTATGATGCGCCTGTGTGGTGCAATCTTCTACATGGTTGTGCAATATATCGTGTGCTAAGATGTAGTGCCATCTACGTTGTGCAATATATGTAGTGCTATCTATGCTCGGAGCGATCTAAAAGCGCGCCTCAGGTGCGATTCTGTCGTGCAATCTACGTGGTGCAATCCATCGGCGGCGACGATGCGGCGATGGGGCGGCGACGGTGACAACATGGCCGCCTGACCAGCCACGTGGCTCAGACGACGGGCGGCGATGACGCGGCGATGGCGACAACATAGCCGCCAGACCGGCCACATTGCCCAAACGACGGGCGGCGACGAGGCAGCGACGGGGCAGCGACGGCGGCAACAGATCCGCCAGACCAGCCACACGGCTCGGGTCCTTAGATCAGAAGTAAGAGCCCGTAAATGCAAACACCGTTTGTGGAATATATAATATTCGTTTGCCAAGTCAGTTTTACATGTCTACCCCATCTCTATATAATCTCCATATATCCTTCCCTTCCTCTTCTTCCTGCTCCCGTTTCAGTATGTTATCTTCCGGTCCCGACTCCTCATTTTCGGCGGCGCGCGCAAGGAGGTAGGGGGGGGGGGAAGTTTCTTAAATGGAGGCTGCTTCTTAGAAGACGCGTGCCCTACATCTACAGATAATGCCCGCGCCTTCTAAGAAGCAACATCCTTCTAAGAAGTCTTCCCCCCTCCCCCTACCCCCTTTCTGCGCGTGGCTCACATCTGCCTTCTCCGTTCCCCTTTTCCTTTCCTTCCCGGGCTCATCCTTCCCTGTCCCATCCTCCCCTCTCGCCATACATCTTCCTTCTCCTTTCAGCTTTCCACCGCATTCCGTTTTGTCAGCTGGGCGACGCAAAATCAAAAAGGGGTCATTTTCACTGATATTGGCGCGTAAGCTGCCGCGTACGGTCCTGCGTGAACGCCCTAGTCTCCGATGTGGCGTGCCACGATGGCGGCCCGCGCAAGCTGCGGCGCAAGGTCGCTTTGTCATCTCGCGTAAGACCCGATGTTGATCGTCGCTCAGTTGGCCGTTCTGTCCTGTGCGTTTTCAGCTCGCTCCTGCCCAGCTTGCTCGAAACAGTCCTTGGGATGTAACTCCTGGGAAGTGTAATTGAGCAGCGGCGCTGGTCCCTGCGTGGTCAAAGCCGGCCTAATCGGGCAGGGTCTCGTTCAATTCCGCTGAACCCCGTTTAATCCAGCCCAGCCCGGCTTAATTGTGGGCCCAATCTGGGCTAGCCGTCCGGCTTCATGGCCCATCAATCGGACGCGGTAATAGCCCTCACTCGTTTTTGCGGGGACCTCCCAGAAGTTGCTTCCTACCAGCCCTACCATTCATCCCTGTGGCGAGGTCCTCGTCGTGGACGTCTTCGCATTGGAGGCGGTGCCAGTGGTGCCGTGCGGTGCCGTGCGGTGCCGTTTTATACGGTGCCATGGTGCCGTGTGGTGCCTACGGGGCAAGGGACATGGAGCGTCAAAGGTGTGGGTCCCCTCCTGGGGGTCGGCTCTGCATCCCGAGCTCCACTCTGACGGCCTGAGGTCCAGAAGGGAGATGCATTCGACAAGCCTCCCGTCGCGACTTTCTCCGCAACGTGGTTCCCCAAAGATTTGGGCCCCTTCCTGTTTTTTTTGTTCTCTCTTTGGGTAGTTCTTGGGCGGTCCAAAGGCCAGGTGCGGGCCAGAAACCGAAAACAGAGAGAGAAAACCTTCCGACGTAATTCGCGTTCACAACGTGGCCCCCCTGGAGGTCTAGACCCCCCCGGTGGTGCGTTGCGTCGCTGTGTTGCGCGGCGTTTTTCGCGTCGCGCCTTTTTTTTGGGGAGCGGCTCGATAAATGAATCCCGCGGCGGGGATGACGCGGCCAGATTTGAAATGCCGTCGTTTGGGCCTCCCCCGTCCCCTCCTCTGCCTTTTCGCGTTCCCATCCTCGCCCTTTGTCGTTTTCGTGCTCCTGTGCCCCTTTCCTCTCCCTGTGTCCTTTCCCCGTTCCCTGCCCTTTCCCCTGCCCCTTGCCCCTTTCCTTTCCTTTCCTTTCCTTTCCTTTCCTTTTCTCTTCTCTGCCGGGGGCGGCGGCTGAGCGCCCGACGCCGACCCCGAAACTCGCGCGCGAGGGGGGGGGGGGGCGGAAAACAATTCAGGGGGTGGGGGAGGACCAGGAGGAGGAGGAGGAGGAGGAGGAAAAGGAGGTGGAAGGGGGGGGGGAAAAGGGGGGGGAGGATGGGGTGGAGGAAGAGGAGGATGACGAGGCGGAGGGCGAGGAAACAGAGGAGGAGGACGAGGGGGAGGAGGGGGAGGACGGAGGAGGAAAATGAAGAGGAGGATGGGGGAGGAACATGAGGGACAGGAGGAACATGATATGCAGTTGGAGCGGGAGGATGGGGAGGTGGAGTAATACGAATCGTGATAATACGATTCGACTGTTAAACAACAGCGCGAATGGTAACAGTACGGGTAATATTTGTTATGTTAATACTACGAAGAAAAGTCACATCAAGAGCTGTGATGCTATTACTAAGAGCTTGACCAACACTATTCAGCGTACGCGTAGACAAATAAGAATACGAATTGTGGCTGCTAGTTTTTATACGAATCATTTGTGGAATTTGTGCATATTGATTAGAAGAGAGGAACAATCAGCAGGCAACACATAGTAGTAGTAACTGTGGTGATACTAGTGCGAAGTAACAATAATACTTTTTGCTATACGGATCATAATTATAATATCAATAACACCCGTAACACACACATAGCCACACACATACTACTATGCATATGTAAGCGTAGAATGGCGAATAGGTGGATGTCGTGGCCAGGGCGGCGACAGCTCCTGGATGGCATGGGTTTTTGTTTTGCTTTTGTGCTTCCAGCGTGCCCAATGCTCCCTTCACTCCTCGTCCGCGCACGTGCCCGGACCATGGTGCGATAACCCCCTCGTGCAGTGGGGGCCCATGCCACATGACACCTTGTTTGCCTCCATGGTGCTCTGGATTTTTCGTGTTTCGATAGTTTTGCGATGGAAAGCTTGGGCTCCCCACATCAGAAGACAATGGAAGTCTTGGGGTCGGAAAAGTGTTTTTTTGCGGAAAGGTTTCTTTTGGTCGGGCTTGTACTGTATGCCACCCCCATCGGAATATCCCAACGGTTGCCCTCCATGAGGGGCCTTGGGCGGGCGCGTCGCGCGCGCCCCGCGCGCGCCCCACAGCGCCGCTGGGGCCTCGTACGTGCAGTGCTTCGTGTGCAAGACGCGATGGGGGGGAAGGGGGAGAAGGAATATGTGGCTTGAGGAGGGGGAGGAGGAGGAGGAAGAGGAGAAGGAGGAGGAGGCGGAAGAGGAAGAGGAGGAGGAGGAAAAGAACTGGAGGAGAAACGAGGGAAGAGGAAAATGAGGAGGAAAAGGAGGAGGAAAAGGAGGAAGAGGAGGGGGAGGAGGAGCGCCAGTGCATATTTAATACTCATCAGCGATATTGCACCTCGCCCTCTTTCCAAACTCTCTGTTCATAGGCCCCATATAAAGGTTTATTTTCACGGACGGAAGTGCCCGGTTGGAAAACCGTGTGGAAATCTTCAACTGTGCCAGGACACCGTTCGTGGGACTTCCACGCCGCCAATCACCGCGATTGTCGCGGCTTGACGATCCACAATCGTGCCAGAACACCATTCCTGGGACATCAACACCACGAATCAACGTCACTGTTGTGCCCTGACAGTCCGACATCGTGCCAAAACGCAAACATATTCTGGGACGTTCACCATGATGATCGTTGAACAGGTTTATAAACATTTCAAGCGAATGTGCGCGGTTTCAAGGCGAGAATCAGTGTTGGAGAAGGAGCCGCCCTCAAACTCTTATGTATTCGTCAGACGGGTTAGTGCGGCGCTACGGCGAGAACCACATTTTGGAAACGACCCGCCCTCGATCCGTGAAGGCCGTACATGTTTTTTCAGACGGATGTGCGCGGCGTTAACGCGAGAACCACATTTTGAAAACCACCCCGCGAAATTGTTGCAAATTTGTAGTTCAGGATTATACATGGTGTGGAAGTCAGGCAAAACGACAAACCCGCCCATTCGACTGGCCTCGGGATGCGACTTGGAGGAACGATGCACAAGGAAAAAGGCCAGAGGAAAAGGATGAGGAGGAGGAAGAGGAGGAGGCAACCGGGGCGGCGGAGCGGACGAGGAGGCCGTTTGGACGGAGGGGGAAAGAAAAGTAGTAGTAGGAGGAGGAGGAGGAAGAGGAGGAGGAGGAGGAGGAAGAGGAGGAGGAGGAGGAGGAGGAGGACGAGCAGGAGACGAGAGGGCCAGCAGACGCAAAGGAGGTGGAAACACATTTTCCAGAGGCTTGGGGCGCTCTGGGGATCCTCGGCGGAGGCCATCGGGTTTTCTGGGGGGAGGGGGAGGCAGGAGCGGAGGGAGCAGCCTCCCCTGTGCCGATCGGGGTGGCTGACCGAGGCAGTGCTGCCCCGAAGCGAGGCCCCCCAAAAGAGCACCCACCACAGGAGCGCTCCGAGAGCGCCCCTCCCCCGCCGCCCCTCGGCTCGGGCGGAAGCCAGGGACAATCAGGAAAGGGGGGGTTCAGAGTTTGCCGCGTGCAGCTGGTTCCCGCCCCGGCGCCGAGCGCCCACACGGGCGCCCGCCGGCGCCGGGAGGGTTCTGGAAGAGCAGCGAAGCACGTGAGTGGATTTTCGCTGGCCACCCCCTTTGCTATCCCCCCATGGCGGCCACCCCCTTTGCTATCCCCTTTGGATTCGCTGGCCACCCCCTTTGGATTCGCTGGCCACCCCCTTTGGATTCGCTGGCCACCCCCTTTGCGATCCCCTTCGCTGGCCACCCCCGTGGCCGTCCGGCCCGAACCCGTCAGCTGGAGAGGCGCTGCCCTCGCGGCGCTGAGGCGTGGAGTGGGCCGGAGGCCGCTGCTCGTTGGAATGGCGGACGGGACTTCTTTGAGCGCTGCGTCGCCGGCAGCCCAGCCTTCAGGGGCCGAGCCGTGCCCGACGTGGTATCCGCCCGTGCGTCCGCCCGCCCGGCTAAAGTCGGGGAAGGCAGGTCGGCGCACAAGCAAGACGCCGACCTCCCACAGGGGGATGTTCGACGAATAACGAAAAATACTCACAAATATTCAAACATAGTCAAAATAGTTTTAACTATCTCTATATATATATATACACATATATTCAAACGTAGGCAAAATAGTTTTAAAACATCGTCCCCGGGCGATTTTTTGTGACGACTTCTGAACATTCCTCCGGGAGAGGGACAGGCCCGACTTAGAAGCTTTGGTCCCAGGATGGGGCTCCGCTCTCCGGGCGGCCTCTGGGTCGGGGAACCTTGTCTGTGGCCGAGGCTCGCCGTGGTCGGACAAGCCCTCTCGTTCCGTACCCCGCCGTCCTCAGTCAGGAGGCGAAAAAACACACAGGCACAAGTAATCGTCGATGCCCCAGAGAATTGCGGAAAAATATGGGCAGTGGGGGGGAAGACAAAAACCCAGGAAATATGGGGAAATGTGGGGGATCCTGTTCTTTGTGTGTATTTATTTTGTGTGTCCCAGGGCCCCCTCACTCAGTGCGGCACAGTGGCCGTGCGACAAACCAAGCCGGCGCAGGCATGCTGCGCAGGCCTTGCGGCCGGTGCCGCCTATCTTGAAGGCGGGACCTCCCCCGAGACCCGCCAGGACGCGGTATTCTCAAGTCGGGCCTGTCCCTCTACAGGATGAATATTCCAAAATAGTCAAAAAATAGTCAGAGGACAATTTGTTTGGAGTATTTTTTAATCATTTTGGGGGTATTTTTTTATTTTTTTGTTTTTCGTCCAAAATCCCCCTGTAGGAGGACAGGCCCGACTTAACGGTATTTCACCTGGGAACTTCGGAGGCGACGATAGGTGCGAATAGCCCAGAGGCGGGCATGACACGTGTTCGCCAGGGAGCCTCGCCGAAGGCATAGACCGTCGGCGCCCCTGGATACATGTGTTGCTCTCCCCTGGGCTATTCGCCCTCATCGTCGCCCCCGAGATCCCCCCACTGACCTGTGACCCCCCCATCCCCCCCCCCCGTGGCACTCACTCACTCATGCCATACGCCGGAGCGAGTGGGCGAAAGAAGAAGACAGGGCCAGCCTATTCTCACCGCTTTGCGGGAGCGGCGGCACGACGGCGATCGCAAAAATCACAACGTGCGCGGCAGGAGGAGGGAGGGGGGAGGACAATGCAGATAGGACGCCAAGGCACCGGGCATCACATGCAACGCATGTAAACAAAAAACTACATAATGCTACTGGTGATCGGGTTCATCACCATGTTGTGCAATGTGTTCAGCCTGCAGGCGCTGCTCCCAAGAATGTTCTGGGCCAGGATGAGCAACCCAAGCCTTGTGTAGGCATTTCGCCCACTCGTGTTTGGGTCTGCCTCTCCTCCTTTGATACGCATCCACAGCTGGGCTGAAACGTGAGTTGCCGAAGAAAGGCCGTATCTGGCGCCCGGCCACTTTTGCCAAATAGTAGTATTTGTTGTTCAAGAAGTTGCGCGCTGTACTGTTTTTGGCCAGCTTGTGCCAGAATTTTGCTATTCGGTACTCGCGTAAGAAAGGCGGGAGGTATACGTAGTATTCTCGCAAGCAAGATGCCCCCCGTGGCAGGGAAGGAATAATTAATGGGAAGGGAATCGACTTCATTACGACGTTTTTTCCTTGTTCATCCATCTCCTTGGCGCTGACGACGACCACGACCACGAGCACGACGACGACGACGACGACAACGACGAGGGCATCAGCGTCTCACACACACACACACCGAAGGGTCGGCGGATTTTTTGGGAGGTCCGCGCGGATCTCTTGGATTGCCGTTGGACCCTTATCCCTGGTGCGCAGGGAGGTCGGGGGAAGAGGTTTCGACACCACCACCACCGCCCGGGGGGACACCTCCAGCGAGGAGGTCCACGATGCCTCCTCGAGCTGGGGACAGGGGATGTCTCGAGCGAAAGGGGGGACCACGACCACCAGGGGGGTCCCCCCCCCTGGCTCCTTCCGCTGGTGTCCCTGGTGGCGGTGGTGTCGCTTTTCTCAGCTCTAGGAAGGGGGGTCCAGCGCTGACCCACCCACGACGTCCGCGCTGACCTCCGAACAGTTATTTTCATACCGTTTCCCTTGGCTGATGTAGAGCTCTTGCTCGCGCTTAGGTGGACCCCGCCCCCGCAGCGGGCCCTCTAAAGGGGGGCCCCCTGCCTCGGGCGGCCTCTGGAGGCCCCGAACAAGCTTGCCGAAGACGCCCCGAAAGCCAGGATCCTCGCTGCTTCCTCCGCTTCTCCTGCGGTAGCAAGTCATCGAGGCCCAGAGGCCCGGCAGCGAGGCCCAGAGGTCGACGTCGAGGACAGGCGCCCGGACCGGAAAGCATGTAGTCGGAGATCCGGCTCGTTTGGCCCCCCCCCGCCAAGGGGACGACGACGACGACGACCACGACGACGACGACGACCACCACCACCACGACGACCACGACGACGACGACGATGACGACGACGACGACGACGACGACGACGACGTCGACGACGACCACGACGACCACGACGACCACGACCGCGGCCTGGGCGATGCGGGCGGCGGCGACGGAGGGTTCGGTAGCCAGTCATCGGAGCTTTGCACTCCCTCGTGACTTCGTCTCTAGACTAGAGTGTATTAGCGTCGATTGATGTCTGATAATCGATGGGGTGGCGCCGATTTAGCGCCGAGTAGCGTCCGTTCAGCGTCGAGTAGCATCGATTCGCGCCGTTTCGTAAGAGCTGACACACTGGTGGAGGGGTGTCCTATGAGTTGCCGCAGAAGCCTCTCTCTTCTCTTCCTCCGTTTTTTGCGTTGAGCGGGCTGTAGCAACCAAGCTGTAGCGTCAGGGTGGATAGAGCAATAACGCCTTCTACGGTGCTGTGGCCTGCATTAAAACTATGGTGACCGCAGCAGGTAAGGTGAAAACAGACAAAGTCTTAGCAGGAGTGTAAGCTCGCCAGGGCTGGGAGCATGCGCTCACCAGGACGAGGACGTGATGGAGGTTACCAGGTCATCTTCAATATCCTCGTCCTCTTCCTCGTCCTCCTCTGCTCCTCCTCCTCCTCCTCCTCCTCCTCCTCCTCCTCCTCCGTGACCTTCTCCAGGGCATGCTGTTTCTGTCCACGGAGCTCACGTGTCAGACGTGGTGCTGCGTGTCATCCCCTGGGCTTTCCTCCCCATCCCCTCAACAAAAAACTTCGATCCTAGATCCACGGGGGGATTCCCTGCGCGGACGCTCCGCGCGGGACTTCCGCCGCACCGCGGAGTCATCCATGTCATCGAGCCTCGGCGTCCAGCCCGCGAGGGCCTGGGCATGGACGCGGACGTCTTCGTCTCTCGTGGTGTGAGGGGGGGGGGGTCCAGACATCCGACGCCGTGACCTTTCTGCAGGGTGGCTCCCCAGAGGCCTGCACCCCCTCCCCGGGCCCCCCCCTTGCTCCCGGGATGCCTCCTGGGGCCCAGCAGGGGGGGCCCTCGGAGGCCGGGGCCTGCCAACCCCTGCCGCCGTGGGTTTTTTGTTCACGACGCGAGGGGGTCCGGCAGCCTCGACCCCATCCCCTGCCGGAGTCGGGGCGGACGACGGCAGGGAGATCGGGAAGGAGGGAGGGGCAGGGCTGAACGTGAGCGTCGTTTTTCGTCCTGTTTTCGTTCTGCTATTCGTTTTGCTCTGCCTCTTCTCCTGTGCCTCCCTCCCAAAACGAAAACAAAGCACAGCCGAAGGCCAGCAGAACAGCGTTCAGGTCCAGCCCTGGGGAGGGGGGGAACGCAACCTGCTGCACGCAGCTGGGCGTGGGACGCTCTGCAGGCAAAGGCTTGGCATCGCCTGGACGTGTGTGCCCCTGGTCCCGGCGAGGACTATCGAGGAGCATCCTGGATCATCTTGCATTTAAGAGCGCCGACGACATCGGACAGACTGCACGGGGAAGGGGCGCTCGAGCGATGGCGAGAGAACGGGGCACGACTGCCCGACTGCGGCGAGGACCATGAACGCCGTCCTCTCCGGCAACCAGCTCGGCGGCAGGACGATGAACATGCTGTGCACGGCCGGCGCGCGCGCCCCAACCGAACGCCGGAAGGGGGGCGTGGTTCACCGAGCGCGTTCCACTACTCGCAAAGTGCCTACTCGCAAACGACCGGAAAGCGCATACGGTAGGTTCGCGTCGTGTCGACCGGCGGCGACCCCGCCGCCGACGTTCAACGTTGAACGCCGACGGCGGCCCAGAATCGGTCGATGTTGAACGATTGGACGTTGCGGAGACGGCCGATCGTTCAAGGTTGAACGATCCAGCGCGGTGTCAGGAACCAACGCCAGGGTCGACACGGCACGAACCTGCAGTACCTCCCTTTACGTAATTGATCGTAGGTACCTCGCGGCGGATCCAGGCCAGCTGCGAGTAGTTGCTTTCCGAGAAGTGGGACGCGCTTGTCCAGTGGTGGGCTGCTGTCGGGCCGTCGTGGCCGGAGAGCCCAGGACCTCGAGGATCGCGACGGCTCGGCAACAATTTGCGCCCGGGGCCATGATGGCTCCTCAGATGTCATGCCCGGTCATACCCTCCAAAAACACACAGACAAGAGTGAATGTCGATTCCCCAGAAAAAATGGGACGACATGGAAATGGGGGAAAGACGAACGTCCAGAATTTCTGGAAAATATAGGGAGTATTGGGATTTGGGTCTATTTAGTTGTGTGTCCCTGGCCCCTTCAGAAACGTAAGACTCGAGTGCGCCGGAACTCGGGTTTGCCGACGCTTTTTGACGAGCGCGTCCCAGAATTTGATGGTCCAGGTTTCGTGGAATGTTTGCAGCGGGAGCTCGCGTCAAGTTTCAGATTGGGTCTCGTCATTTTCATGATGGCCCTGTCAGGCCATTCCGAGTCCCCCGAACCCGAGTCTTACGTCTCCAGGACTCTTGTTTCAATCTGTCCCTTGGCATTCCCTGGGCTATGATTTACGATCCCTTCCTCTTGCACGCCCCCCCCCCCTTGGACGCCCCCGAGATAGGGGGAGGGATAGGCTGAGGGGGGAACGCATCGACCCCCAATCGCCCACTCATCGCCGATGGGCCACCCCGCCCATGAGCGTGCGGCTGCTGTATCCAGGGCCCATCGCCGGCCTGTCGGCGAATCGTCTCCGATTTCGGGCCGATGTTCCCCCCTGAGCCAGTTCACCCCTGTTTCGGATGCAACTCCTGGGAGGTCAAGTTCTGTTTTCGCCCTGGTCCGAAATCCGGCTTAATCTGGCTTAATCTCGATTTATCCCGCTTCATGCCGCTTCATCCCGCTAAGTCCGGCTTAATCCCGCTTAATCCGAGGCCCACTCCGGCGTAACAGCTCCCAAATGGGGCTCAATCCTCTTCAATTTTTCCGACGAGTACCTCCCAGTGGTTGCCGCCTACCCCTGTCGCTCCCCGTCAAAGTGGCCACGACGCCCACACGATCCACGATCTCCACGGCGCCTCCTGCGCTGCCTCGCGGGCTCGAGGGGCGAGGGCCGCCCAGGGGCTCCGGACCTCCTGGGGGCGCGCCCCGAAGGCACTTTGGAAGTGCCCTCGGGGCGGCGCAGAACGCAAAACAAAAACGCAGCTCGGCATGCCGCATTGGAGGCGAGGGTGCTGACGCGCGGCCTCACATGGGCAGCTCGCGCGCGAGCGTCGGCGACGACGACCCCGCTTTCTTGCGTCGCTCCATTGAGGGGCCCCCAGGGCCGGGCGCGTGTGCAGACCGGTCCAATCCGTGACCTGCAGCGAGGAGGCCAGGACGGCGGCCGCGCTGAGGCCGCGGCGGCCGGTGTTTGCATGCCAGAACCTGTTCTTTTGCGGAGCTGGGCGCCCTGGCGCGGACGGCCCGGTCAACCCCGAGCTCCTGGCACAGCACACGACGGCATTCTCGTCCTTGGCAGTGGTCTGGCCCTGAAGGTGGGAAGGCCGACATGGGGGCAGGAAAGCAAATGAGACGAAGGCCAACAGCAGCTCCTCCCCACTTTGAAGAGGTCTCGATGTTGGGCCCGCCGCGAACGCTGTCCGTTCCGCCCAACAGAGGCTGCTGTCGGTTTGGGACAAAGTTCCCATCTCTTTCCGTCCCCATCCTGGGCGTGCCCACTCGCCTCTTCAGCCTTCGAGGATCAAATCGCGAGGAGGTTCGAGGATTCTCGATCCTGGATCCTGGGTTCGGTAGAGAGTCATGGGAGCCCTATATGCCTTTGTAGCTCCTTCTTTAGATTCGAGTGCATTAGCGTGCGCTAGCCTCTGGCAATCGATGCGAAAGCGCCGATTCAGCGTCGATCAGCGTCGGCCAGCGTCGATTCAGCGCCGATTTCCTGCCGACCAGCGTCGACCAGGGTCGGCCAGCGCCGACGCGCAAGAGCCAGCATCATGGCACCGGAGGCACCCGCAAGTTGCCGCCGAGCCCATGCAGGGGAGGCCCCCTGCCGCCGGACCTAAGCCTTTCGTTCTGGCAGGGAGGCACAGGGAAACACGCAGAGCAGAACGAGCAACAAAACGAGCCCCGAACGACCAACAACGTCTAGGTCCAGCCCCGTGGAGCCCCCCCCCCATGTGTGCAGCCCCCGGCGTGGGGGGCGCGGGAAGCCGAGGGCGGGCGCGCGGTGCGCCGCCGAGCCTCCGAGGCTCCCGCCCTCCAGTGCCCGGGCGGCCCGTCGGGGGCGGTGCACGCCCGCGCTGCAGGTCGGCCGGGGCGTCGGGCCCTCAAGGGGCACGCAGGAGCAGCCCCTGGCCCTCGTGGCCCTGGCTGCGGGCCCGGCGGGGCGCCCTGGCCGCCGCACGCGAAGCGGCGGCAGCGGCCCGCGCAACCCCGGGCGGTCCGCACCGCGCCCGCGTGAGCAGAGGAGGGCGCGAGCGCGGGTGCGGCTCGCGGCGCGGCCCACCGCCCAGCGCCGCTGGCCCTCTGGGGCCCCTCGGCCCTCTCGGGCCTCTCGCGGCGGCCGCTTGGGCGCGCGTGGGGCCGCCTGAAATTGGGGCGTCTTGGAGCACGGCCTCGGGGGAGGCCCGATGGGGCCCCCTGACGGTCCGAGAGTGCTCCGAGATTGGGTGCACAGGGCCGGCGGATCCTGGTGCAGAACCGCCGCGCCACCCCGGCGAGGGGGGCGCGGCCTCGCCGCGGGGGCCACGCCTGGCCAGCTGCCAGCGCGCTCCCCGCGCGGCCCACCCCACCGCACGGCCGCCGCCCAGCGCGCAGCCCCAGGGCGGCAGCGGCCGGACCCTGGTCCCTGAGGGAAGCGGGTCCCGAGCATTCTCGCCGTTCTCGGGCCGAAGAGGCTCAAGAGGGCCCTAAGACGACCCCAGAGGCCCTCAGGAAGGCCGCAAGTGGGCCCCAGTGCGGCCCCAGGGACCTCCATGACGGCCCGAGGACGCCAAACGGGTCCAGAGTAATTATTCTCGCCGTGTTCGGGCCCCTTGGGGCCGTTACTGGGCCCCAGGGCCGTTGCGAGCGGCTCGGGGTGAAACGTTTGTCCTTGAGGAGGGCCCCGGTGCCGATGGCCCACCGCGCGACCACCGCGCATCCCCGTGGCGTTAACGGGCGGATCCCGGCATGCCTGGCCAGTTCCCCTCGCAACCCGGGTCGGGCGGGTGGTAATGGGCGGTGACCCCAATGGGGGTTGAAGAACAAGGCCCGAAAGGTGCCCCGTCGGGCCCCTTGAGAGCCAGCAGTTGCCCCAAAGGGGCCCTCAAGAGCCCCATGTGGGGTCTTTCTCATCAGAGCGTGAATTACCTACCCCGCTTTCGCTTCCAGGCAAAACCAAGTTGTACCACGCGCCTCCTCGTCAAGCGGCCTGACCAGTACAGGCCGCAGTTTGGCATCGCTTGGTATCTCTTGGAAGCGAGGGTGGTCCAAAGCGAGGTAGGTTTGTCTGCCCCCTAACTTTGGGCCCCCCCCCCACGGGCACCCGCCCGACCGGGGCGGACGACAGGGGGGGGCCGGGGAAACGGGGAGAGGCGCCTGGTGCTGCGGCGCCAGCCTGCGGCGCCGCCCCGTGCCCCCTGCCCCCCCCCCCCCTTTGCCGGTGGCAGCTGCAGGTCCGATTCAGAGGAGCATGGAGTATTGATACTGACAGTTTGCCAGATTTCCAGGTCTTCCTGCTCTTCCGCGCGGGCTCCAGGGACGAATGGTCGGGCGCATTGCGTCGCGCAGGTTCTCTGCGTGATGTTCGCGGTGCGTTTTTCGCGCATCGGAGCGCTCTCGAATATTCCAAGCTGCATGCTGTGTTGCTATTGGGGAGTCCGCATCGGGCATCGGCGATGCCCGATGCCCGATGCCCAGGAGGCTGCGAACGCTGCGTGCAGCTGGCTTTGCCTCCGCCGACCGGCCTTTATAGCTCGAGGCGGTGGCGCCTCCGCGGCCCCGGCGGGTCTGCCTTGGTGGGAGCAGCGGCAGCACCGGAGGCTTACACGCCGGCCGGTGAAAGCAGGTATTTTTGGATTTCCACATCCCAATCTGCTTCAAGCGCCTTCCTACTGCAAGAATCGGCTTGCTGTTGCTCTGTTTTGTTATTCTCTGGGAGGGCCTGGACCCAATCCACTTTATCCGCCTTCCTACTTCATGTTTTTACCTCCGACGTGTAGTTCTGGCATTGGCAGTGTGTTGGCCCCGGTTCGTTGGGGGAAGGGAGGGGAACTGGTTGCGTTTGCAGGTGGCCGAGCGGGTGCGCGTGTGCACAGATGCACGCCTACAAACACACCTCGTGCGACGTGCGCCCAACCGATAGGAAACGCGGTGCTTCAGCGCTCCTGCTGCTTATGCGACGCCCGTAGCCCAAGACATCGCAGGGCAGGCGGTTCGCCGCGCAGCCATGCGCTGATTATTTGTGCGATGCTTCTTCGGATCATCTCGGCCGCTTCTGCCATATTCCGCTCCGCCGATCTTGTATCGTGTGCATACCGTCGCTATACTGCCGATGCTGCCGCTACTTCGCCTCCTCGTTTGTCTCTCCACCAGCCTCGGTCTCGCAGCCCCACTCCGGTGTCCTGCCTCCTGCGCTCCCAAGCTCTCTCTCTCTCTCTCGTAGCCTTCGTCGCCTTCCCCCCATCCCTTTTGCAGGCAGAAGGTTCAGGGGTACGGGAGGCGTGACCCCGAGCAAGAGGAAGAGGACGAGGACAAGGACAGGGGCGAGGATGACGACGAGGAGCAGAAGTAGGGTGATGGAGAGGAGGAAGGGCCGGGTGGGGCTAGGACGAGGATAAAATCCGTTCCAGAGAGTTCACTAACGCTCTCAGAGCGTTCCAGAACGCTCTGAGGAAGGACACGGCGCCCGAGATACCCCCCAGAGCCGCCGGATCTCAGAGATTCAGGATTTATCCTCCCCCTAATTTATCCTCGCCCCTGCTTCGTCTTAGGCAGGGCGGAAGGGGCTCGCATGTGTGCTCTTCTCTCGTTCGTGGGCGGCCCAAAGAGGTCTGCCAGACCTCGAACCTGGCGCCGTGGGGGACCGCGTGCCCCAGGGGGGGGGGGGATGCAATGGTCGGGTCGAGCGAGAGGGGGGTTACGGAAAGGACCTCCTATTCCTCCTCCTCCTCCTCCTCTTCCCTCCTCCCTCCTCCTCCCTCCTCCTCCTCCTCCCTCCTCCTCCTCCTCCTCCCCTCCTCCTCCTCCTCCTCCTCCTCCTCCTCCTCCTCCTCCTCCTCCTCCTCCCCTCCTCCTCCTCCTCCTCCTCCTCCTGCTCCATCCCTCCTCCCTCCTCCTCCTCCCTCTTCCCTCCTTCTCTCCTCCCTCCCTCCTTCATCCCTCCTCCCTCCCTCCTCCCTCCTCCCTCCTCCGTCCTCCATTATCCCTCCTCCCTCCGCCTCCGCCTCCGTAGTCACGTTGATTCAAGTGAGCCGTGCTTCGGGAGGCCCTCGCCAGTGCGCCTGCTCGGGGGCGGGCGCGCAAGTGGCTGCGATGGAGCACGACGCCGCCTTCAGCAAGAGCACGGGACGTCGCTGGACTGCCGCGAGTGCGAGGACGCTCGCGCGTCGCCGTCGGGGCGAGTATCGTCGTGAACTTGGAGTACCACGGGCTCAGGCGCTGCAGCGGCGCATGGTCTTGCTCCGCGCTGGTCTGACCGCCCACTGGGACTTGAGCGACGCCATCGGCGGACACCATCCCAAGATGGGCGACGCCCTTGCAGCAGCTGAGCTTCTTGGGGCAGTTTCGCCCGAGGTCAGGACGTCTACCGCCGCAGCATGCGCTGACAGCAACTGGGCTCGGCACGCGACACTGCGCGACATGCAGGTCCTGCCCAAGATGCCGACTGGCATTAGTTTGGTCAGTCTCGAGCAGTTCCGCGCCGCGTTGTATATCGGCAAGCACGGCTCAGAGAGGAAGATCGTGGCCGACCTGTTGGGCGCCTGGATGTGCGAGGCGAAGCCTTTGATGCATGTTGAGGGCGAATCTTGTGGCGAAGCCGAGCCTTATTGTGAGGATCATCTTTAGGGCGAACTTCCGCTTCAAGACTGCGCAGATGAGCCTTCTGAGTGCGCAGCTGAGCCTCATCGTGCTGATGAAGAACTATATTGTTGTGCCACGCGTGCGTCTGAAGAGGAGCCTTCTACATGTGTAGCCAAGGGCGACTTGCAGCTCAGCTGCTCTGGCTCCCCCCGGGCTGGCGCACTCTCCACCGCAGGGGAGGGGATTGTGGCCGCTGGGGGACGGTTCGTGTTCATGTCGAGCCAAGCCGCTCCACCAGGACGGGTTGGTGGATTGCCCGCCGTGCGATTGCGGCTAAATGGCTCGAGGGGGTTCACTGCTTCTGCTGTTGGTTCCGAATGTTATCCTCAGGGCGAGACACCGCCTCAAGATGCTGTACACGAGCCTTTTGAATGTGCAAGTGAGCCTCGTCGTGCCGATGATCAGTTGCATTGTAAGTCTTGATTGTTGTGCCCGACGTCCTACTGGATATGATCCGTCTCGTGGCCGTGTCGGGCCAAGTCGCTCCACCAGTGCGGCATGGCCGTCCGCCTGCCGTGCGATTGCGGCTACTCGGTTCGTGGGACGTGTTGATGTTTCTCCTGCTGCTGGTCTCGATCTTACGCCGCGGGAAGCTGGCCATGCAGCTCGTAGCGAAGGCGTTCGTGATTCTGACGGACCCGCTGCTCCTGCTGTTGGTCTTGACATTGTTCTTTGCGAAGCTGTTCACGCATATTGTGGCGTCGCTCTTGATTCTGAGTCCAAGCCAACCCCTCCCTCCCGATTCACCGCCAACAGCTTCCGCTCTACCCTCCTCCCTCTTCCCTCTCCTCCTCCTCCTCTCTCCTCCCTCCTCCCTCTCTTTTCCTTTTCCGTCTTCCCTCGTCCCTTCTTCATCTTCCCTCCTCTTTTATTCATCATCCCTTCTCCCACCTCCTGGTCCTCCTCCTCCTCTTCCTCCTCCTCCTGCTGCTCCTCCTCCTCCTCCTCCTCCTCTTCCCCCTCCTCCTCCTCCTCCCCCTCCCTCCTCCTCCTCCTCCTTCTCCTCCTCCTCCTTCTCCTCCTCCTCCTCCGTAGCCAATTTGGCTCAAGCTGGCCGCGGGGCTGGGTCGGCGCGCGCCCCGTTCGCGCGACACCTGGGCCTGGCATGGCGACGGTCGACGGCCGCTCCCGCATGGAGGCTCTGGCACCGCTGGTTCGCGCGGCTGTCGCTGGAGCCGCCGAGGGCGGCGGAGGGCGCCACCTCGTGGCGGCGGCGTCGGCGGCGGCGATCTGCACGGGCGTGACCCCGCTCGAGGCGCCGCTGGAGACAGCCGCGGACAGGGAGGTCGCGGTGCGCGAGGCATTGGCACGCCCGCACCTCCGTATCCACGTGGCGGCTGGGCTCGAGGGCTCCGAGCCCCGAGCCTCGGGGGCGCGCACGGCCTATCGCAACTGGGCCTTGCACGACGACTTCGGAAAAAAGGCGCTGATGCAGCGCCTGACTCACCGCAGGAGGCCAAGCGCAGGGCCGGCGGCCCGCGCAAGAGAGGCCGCCGCGGGGCTGGTTCAGCGATGTCGACCGACTCGTCGGAGAAGGTCGGGAGCTCGGACACGGCGGATGAGCTGTCGGAGCAAACCAACGCTGGCTCGACGGGGGTCGTCAAGGGCAGCGACGTGGGAGACGACATGACCCTCGGGCACGTGGAGGTGGAGTTATGCACGGAGAAGGCCCTCGTGGGCTTCAACACGACGAGCGAGCAGGAGCTCTTCGACCGCCTCCCGATGGAGCCCGATGCGAGGAGGACCTCGCCCAGAAGACCCTCGTCCTGCACGCCGCGGCAACGACCGTCGTGAAGATCGAGGACGACCTGGCCGCGGCCATGAAGGCGGCCAACATCGCCACCCACGATATGCTCGTGGCGCAGAGGCTCATCAAGGAGAGGGACTACGACGCCGTCCAGCCCGGCGTTCTCGGTGCTCCTGATGGGTTTCGTGATCCTCAGCGGGTGGGCGCCCGTTAACAGCCCTCCGGAGGTCTTCGGCGGTTTCCTGGTCGTCGTGCTGCTCGTCGGCACGCTCGCTTCCGGTCCACGCGGCGCCCGTCGGCCTGTCCATGGACCTGTTCGGCGAGGGCCTCGTGTGCCCGTGCGTTCGGACTTTCGTTGTCTGTCATCTGAAATAGCCCTGAAATAATCCTCCTCCTCCTCCTCCTCCTCCTCCTCCTCCTCCTCCTCCCTCTTCCCCCCCCTCCCTCCTCCTCGTGGGGGTGCGAAATCTGCTGCCTGCAGCTGGTTTCGGCCCCGCCGTTGGACGCCTGCTTCAATGCGTGGGCGCCTCCCGGCGCCGGGTGGCGCCCAGCGAACCATCTGCATGAGTTCAGTCTTGGAGGGTGAAAGTGGGGGTCGGGCGCAGGGTCCCGGCAACGATGTTTTTTAAGGCCATGAATGGGCGATGCATCCTCGATTGCTGTGTTCGGCGGGGGAACTAATTGAAGCCCCCCGCCTGCACGCGCGCGCGAGACTTGAGGGGAAAGGAAGCAAGGGGGCGGGGGGCTCGGGAAAGGCGACGAAGGCAACGTGCGCTAAGGGCGCAAAAAGAAAAGGCTGGAACGCACGAAAGCGGTCAGGTGAGTGTCGAAATCTGCCCAGCCAATCTGACATGCGGAACACTGCGCCTCAGTTTTGGGGATCTTGAAGGCCAGGGCAAAATGTGAATTCACATTGTGGGGAAAAACAAAATGTGAATTCACATTTTGGGAAAGAGGAACATGTGAATTCACATTTTGGAATGTTGTGTAGGGTTCTTTATGGAGGGGCCAGAATGTGAATTCACATTTTGGGAAAAGGAAAATGTGAATTCACATTTTGGGACAAAGGAAAATGTGAATTCACATTTTGGGAGAATCGCGGGGCCCATTCCAAATCTGTCTTGGGGGTCGAGAAGTCATCGTTTGGGAACATACGCGATCATCAACCGCACAATCAAGACACACTTGCACTCCACTTCGCCGACCCACACGCAATATGCAAGAACGCCCGCGCGCATGAACGATAATGGATGGACGGCGCGTGTGCCCGCGCGGGCAACGCGCGGGCACGAATGACTGGCCATCAATGACCGCCAGCATTGGATGCCAATCGTACCCGATCACATACATGAACGATACATTGAGCATACATGGGCCATTCAGACCCCATTGAAGACCCCCTGTTGCAGACCCCCTCTTTCACCCTCCAACAGTCGCATCCCCCTCCACTTTACCACCCCCCCTGTCGTCCGGCCCAGACCAGGGAGGGCGGGAGGGACGGAGGGGAAAAGAGAGAGAGAGAGAGACATATATATATATATATATATATATATATACATATATATATATATAGAGAGAGAGAGAGAGAGAGAGAGAGAGAGAGAGAGAGAGAGAGAGAGAGAAAGAGCGCAGAGGGTTGAGGCGGAGGGCGAAGAGTTGTAGGAGTTGGACGAGGAGGTGGGGGAGGAGAAGGAAGGCAGGGACAAAGAGAGAGAGAGAGAGAGAGGAAACGGGGGCAAAGACAGGCGAGGGGAGGAATGGAAAGTGGGGATGGGGGAGATTGAATGATTTGCGAAAGCGTGAGAGAGAGAGAGAGAGAGACAGAGAGAAAGAGAGACATCTAGAAGAGATAGAGGGAGTGAGAGAGACACAGAGAGAGAAATATATAAATAAGTAAATAAAGAAAGAGAGAGAGAGAGAGAGAGAGAGAGAGAGAGAGAGAGAGAGAGAAAGAGAGAGAGAGAGAGAAAGAGAGAGAGAGAGAGGGGGATATATATATATATATATACATATAGAGAGAGAGAGAGAGAGAGAGAGAGAGAGAGAGAGAGAGAGAGAGAGCGAGACCCAGAGAGAGAGAGAAAGAGAAGCATATAACAAAACACAGAATTTGCCTGGCGAAGGACCCAATCATACGTAGTTGTGAATACCGCAATTGTGGATATATTCCTCGGTGGCGCTCCCTATGGGGCCACGAACCGCATGAAGGGTGCGCCGGAACGTGTGGCGGGGGTACACAACGCGAACAAATATTATAGT